GCCTGGCCGGGCAGCTGCAGCACCTGCGGGACAAGTACGAGCGCATCGGGGCTGAGACCCCCGGCCGCCCTCTGGGCACCGCCGGCAGCCTTCCGGAGCGGCCGCAGAACCCCCGGGGTAAGTGGGGAGGGTGAAGGGACCCCTCGGCCGTGCTCCTACCCCCGGCTGACTCTCTGCTCCCCGCAGGACACAGCCGTGCCCTGCCCAGCGCCGCGGCTGACGGCATCCCCGAGCCGCAGAAGGTGCTCTTCCCTGCCCACAAGCTCTCCATGAAGTGGGAGCGGGTGCACCGTGTGGGCGCCGGGCTGAGTAACCTGGGGAACACCTGCTTCCTGAACTCGGCTCTGCAGTGCCTGACCTACACGCCGCCGCTCACCAACTACCTGCTGTCCCGGGAACACGGGCGCTCCTGTGAGTGGGGGCCGGGAGGGAGAGCAGCCTCTGCCTGTCCTGCTCACAGTGCTGTGCTCGGCACCTCTGTGCCTGCCTCTGGTGAGGGAGTGCAGACATCAGGATGCACCTTCCCTGCCCTGCTCTTTCCTGCCCGTTTCTCTGTCAAGAGGCGGTTCCTGGGTCTTGCTCACTTTTCCTGGCTGTAGCAATGTTCCCAAGCTTGGCGTCTTTGTCTGTGGGAGCACTTTGTCTCTGCTGGGTGTAGCCAGGACTAGGATGGGCCCCATGGAGCCTGCTGGCTTCTTGGGGGCTCAGCAGGGGGGTCCTGAGTGGCCCCTGGGACTGCAGAAGAGCAGTGTGACAGCTCCGAGCTGTCACCACAGGGAGCACAGGGGCCTTGCAGCCCCATTCACAGGACTGCCAGTGGAATCTGCCCCTATGGCCTTGTCCAGTGAGTGCCTGGGATCTGTTTTCTATCAGTGTGAGTGCTGTCTCATCTGGGGAGCTGCTGTGGCTGCTCCTGTGATGGACTGTGCTAGCTGGGATGGCATGAGCTAGTCCTCATGTCCTGGGGCATCGAGCTCATAGGGAAAACTGAGCATGGCTGAGCTGTATTGAACCAGAGACCCCCTGTCCTGCCTCTGTCTCTCCTGGGTTTGTCCCCAACGTCGTGTCGTCTCTCCTGCCACAGGTGCCCACGGAAGCTTCTGCATGATGTGCACTATGCAGAACCACACGATACAGGCTTTTGCCAACAGCGGCAATGCAATAAAGCCACTCTCCATCATCCGAGACCTCAAGAGTAAGGAGGGCTGCCCCCCCATCCCCCATGACTAATCTGGGAGCAGAACTATCGGGATTGGGGCATGCTTGGGCAAACAGCTCCACTGAGATGACTCACGGAGCCTCGGAGTGCCTGGAGACTTCTTGGGCTGCCAGGGGCTTCCTCTGTGACATGAGTCTGATGTCTGGGTTGGGACTCAAACTCCCAGGGAAGGCAGGGAGGGATGGCATCTGTTGCAGCATGTGCTGAGTCCTGCCTCTCTTGCAGAGATTTCCCATAACTTGCGCTTCGGCAGGCAGGAGGATGCACACGAGTTCCTGCGTTACACCATCGATGCCATGCAGAAGGCCTGTCTGAATGGCTACACCAAGTATGTGGGGCCTGATGGCCCATCACTGCTCTTTGCTGTTCCCTTGCTGGTCCCCTGCACTCACGGGAGTGGACTGTGGAGTGAACATGTGCCCCAGGTCAGCCTTATTGTGGGGAGGTTCTGACTCCAGGGGCCTCGGGTGTGGGGTCCAGCACTCTGCCCCTTGGGGACAGGGCTCTGGGCTGTTGTTCACCTTCTGCTGACTCCTCCACCTCAGCATAGCTGAAGTCCTGCCCCCAAATCCGGAGGCTGCTACAGGTTGGGATCGCATCCCAGTTGCTGAGGGATACAGGCCTACTTGCCAGCTCAGCCCCAGCCATATGGCTGTGGGAGGGTGGCTTCCCCCAGGCCCTCTGTCCTGGGAAGCACTGTTTCTGAGCTCCAGCCAGAAGCTTCTGCTTCTTCTAGAGGAAGGTGTGTGTAGGAGCCTGGTGGCATCCCTCAGCTGTGACACAGGGAGAGCAGTCTGGCAGGGGCTGCGACTTCCCACTGCTTCTGGGGCTCCACAGCCCGGCCACTGGCCAGAACGTAGAGGGGGGCTGTCATAAGGGGTCCAACAAGGGTGGCTGTTGCAGTGTGAGATCTGCTGCTGCTGTCTCTGTGTAGGCTGGATCGCCAGACCCAGGCCACAACTCTGGTTCACCAGATCTTCGGTGGTTACCTGCGGTCCCGTGGTGAGTACCAGCAGTCTGGGCCTGGGCCTGGGCACTAAAACCCTTTGGGAAAATGGCTTATCATGTTTAACTTATCCAGAGCTGTAGTCGGTCAGTCCTGCAGCACTTGTGGGTCATGACCTCTATTGTGGCAATGGGAAAAGCCATTGGCTGTGGGTCCCCAGCTTACTGCCATCAGCAGAAGGATCCATGTTCCCAGAGCTGCTTCCCCAGCACACAGGGGATGTGCCAGCCCTCCTCCCTGCAAGGCTGTCAATCCTGATGCTGACATCCCAGAGCCCAGACCTGGGTTGGGGGGACACTGCAGCTGTCTGTGCTGTGCTGGGGTGTGGCAGGTGCTGGTGTTGTGCCAGGGTGTGCTCACGGCCCTTCCTTCTGCAGTGAAATGTCTGGAGTGCAAGACTGTCTCAGACACCTACGACCCTTACTTGGATGTGACACTGGAGGTCGAGGTACTGCTGCAGGCTTGGGGGTCTCTGCTCTTGAGGGAGGTGTTCATGCCCTGAGGCTCCTTAACCTGTAGACATGGTGCTGGCAGGAGAGAAGCAGCTCCTGCTGTTGTGCCTCCTTCCCTGTGTCACAGAGCAGTGCCTGTTGCCTGGATGTGAGCAGTGCCTCCTCCGTGAAGGCTTGGCAGTGTTGTGGGGCAGAGCAGCCACCACACCGTGCCAGGGGCAGGCTCAGGGCTTTGGGGCAGCCTGTAGCCCTGGGCTGTGTGCTCTCTCCTGGGGCCAGCACCTCTGCAGGGAGTGGGGCTGTGGTGTGGACAAGCCCTTCATGGCCTGACCCCCACCCTGTCCTTGCAGCGAGCTGCAAACATCGTGCGTGCCTTGGAGCTGTTTGTGAAGCCAGAGCAGCTGGGTGGGGACAACGCCTACAGGTGCAGCATGTGAGTGTGGGGTGCTGGGGGCATAACGGGGTGCCACAATATGGGAGGGCTTCTGTACCTGCTCCATGGCTAAACCATGAGGTACAGGGCCATGGAAGCCTGTGATGAAGCCTGCTGCTCCTCAGCTCCCTTGTCTCCAGAGGAGGACCTGGGCCAGCGGACATGGCCATGGGGAGGTGTCTGGAGCAGTGCCTGGTGTCAGCAGCACCATTCCCATCGGGTTTGCCATTGCTGGGTGGCCAGGGCAGGCAGCCATCTGGATGTTGGAACAGCTTGAATAGCTTGAGCTTTTCCTGGGCAGGTGCAGGAAGAAAGTGTCAGCCAGCAAACGTTTCACCATCCACCGAGCCTCCAACGTCCTCACGATTTCACTGAAACGCTTTGGCAGCTGCAGCTCTTCAGGTGGAAGGAAAATCACCAAGGTGAGTGTCAGTGATCCACAGTCAGGGCTGTGTCCTGGCCCAAGGTCCTGCTCTCTGAGCAGGGCAGGAGGTGGTCCTGGTGCAGGCCTGCAGCCATTCCCCACTGCTCTCTGGGGGAGGTTGGGCTCATCCTGGCATGTTCTCATCACAGTCTCTGCCTGGGAAGAGCCTGTCCCGTCCCTCGAGCGATGGGACTTGTAACACAGCAGAGCTGCTCTTGCTGTGGCAAGAAAGCCATGCCAGCTCCTGAGACATCTTCTTTTCACAGGACGTGGGATACCCTGAGTTCTTGGACATCCGCCCTTACATGTCTGAGCCCAAGGGCGATCCCATCACATATGGACTTTATGCAGTGCTGGTGCACTCTGGGTACAGCTGCAATGCAGGGCACTACTTCTGCTATGTGAAGGTGAGCCCAGGATGCTCCTTCAGGATCCTGTCTGGGCTGGGGCCTGGTAGGTGCTTGTGGGTCCCTTTAGGGTGCAGAAAGGAGGGTGTTTGGCAGGGTGGGTGGTGTAGAGCACTGGCCATGGGGCACAGACTCTGCTCTGCTGCAGGAAGGTCTGCCCTGACAGAGATCCCTGGCCTGCCCTTGGGCCATCTGTGGGTTTTGGGGAGAGGAGCTCTGGTGACAGGTGCTGTTCCTGCTGCTCTGCAGGTCAGGAGGGTCCCTGGCCAGAGCGTGACACTTTCTCCTCAGACACAGCCTGACCAGAGTCCATGTTCTCCTTCCACAGGCCAGCAATGGGCAGTGGTATCGAATGAACGATCATGAGGTCCATCCCAGCAACATCAAGGTGGTTCTCAACCAGCAGGCCTATGTGCTGTTCTACCTGAGGTAAGAGAGCCTGTGTCTTCCTGTGTCTGAGGTAAGAGGTCTGTGCCTCCTGGCCCCCTAGCCCTGCCCCACTGCCCCTGTGCGTGTGCTGGCTCAGGGTGGGGGGTGGCGGTCCAGCCCCTTGTCATGGCTTGCTGTAGCACCTCACCTCCTTGGAGCCTCTGGAACTCCCTTCCTTGTGTCTGTCTGCTCACCCACACAGCCTGGCTGACTCTGGCACTTTGCCTTCCCCAGGCTGTGCAGCCCCAGGAAGAGCTCAGCAGGGCCCAGGGCTGCAGCTGCCTTCAGCCCACACATCGGCAGTGACTCCCAGCAAATGAAGAGAACAGAGATGAACGGGACCCTGTCTGTGCCACCCACGGGCCCGGTGAGTCCTGGAGGTTGGTGCTCCACGGGCACTGGGGCTGCAGCCGTGCTGGGAGGTGGATGAGTGGGAGGGTGCTGTGCAGGAGAGATCCTGACCCTGCTGGACCCAGGGATCCTGGCTGGGCATGGCAAGGGCAGTATCACTGTTTGTGTGGCTCCTTGACTCTCCTCACTGAACTCCTCTCTTTCTCCTTGTGTAGAAACAAGACAAGCTGCCGGGGAAGGGGCTGCCAGGCCCAGGTGATGTTGGAGTCCCTGTCGCCCGCAGCTCTCCTGGGATGGGGTCAAAACTGACAAATGGAATTGCTCTATCAAAGCTACCCTCTCAGACCCCATCATCCAAACTGCCCCACAAAGCCACCCACGAGGCCACACCACTGGGCTGTGACACAGTCCAGAGGCCCAAGAAGACACCTGGCATGCCCAGAGCAGGCTTCCATGTCACCAGCACCATGAACGGGGCCAAAGCAGGGCTGCCCCCACGGGACTCAGAGAGTGAGAAGCCACCTACCTCATCCAAGCTGCCCAAGTCCAGTCATGAGCCCAGTGGCTGTGGGGCCATGGCCAGGACCCTGAAGAAGGATTCCCAGGGCAGCACAGTAGGGCAGCTGGCCAAGGAGACCCACAAAGCCAAGAGCAGTTCCAGCAGCTTCTGCACCCCTCAGGGAAGGGACTGTAGCACCCACCTCCCCGCTGGCCCTGGCAGCAAGCCTGCTGTCCCTAAAGACTCTGTCCCCAGAAGCTGCGGGACAGCTGCTGTGAAACCCTCCCCGCTGGGCAGTGCTGCGCTGGAGTGGGGCAGCGCCACGCCACCGCTGCTGGCCAAGAAGCCAATGCTCTCAGCCAAAAAGGTGAGCCTGAGCTTCTGCCCAGAGGCTCCAGTCGACATCTTGTGCCTTCTAAACTGATGTTGTGTAGGGCTACTGCCAGGTGCCTGCTGAGCAGTGCTGTGTGGGGAGAATCCCCCAGCTCCTAACCCAGGGCTGTGGTGGCTGCTCTCCCCACTCTGGGTTAGGGTGTGGGACCAGGCCCTGCTGTTGTCCACATCCCTGAGTGATGCAGGGGATGGCTCCTGTCCCCTTGCCTGGGACAGAGGGGTGACTGCACCAGTCCCTGCAGTGGGGAGGTCTTGGCACCTTCTTGGGGTCACCTGTCCCCTGGGGCCAGTGGCAGGGGGTGATGCCACAGCAGGAGGGTGTGGAGGTGCCTCCTCCACAGGCAGTGAGCGGGCTCAGGAGGGTACACTGTGGTTCCAAGTCTTTGAATTTCTTTCCTTTTTTTTCCTTTGTTCTTCTAACTGAATACACTTCTGATTTTCCCCTTCCCTGCCCCTGTCTGTGTCTGTTCTCCTCCCCTTTCTTTGGGCTCCCCTTTTTCTCTTGGCTCATGGAAACCTCGGTGTTTTATGTTTATGTTTATTTATGTCAATACCTGCAGGGCAAACCTTCTCAGAAGGTGAGTGTGAGTGACCACCAAGCACAGTCCCAGCACTCAGCCACCACCCATCCTGACTGCACTCCTAGCCCTCTGGGCAAGTCCAGGTAAGCAGTGCCATTGCTCCCAGGCTCTCACTTGGCAGGAAGGCCAGTGACAGCCTTGGGTACTCCATGGGATATGTGTGGCCTTGCAGCCAGCTTTTCAGTTCTCTGGGGCTGGCAGGGCTTGCTCCAGATCTGAGAAGGGCTGACTTCAGCACAGAGTGGGAGGGAGTTCTGCAGGCCCTGACCCCATACTAATGTACCATGGGATCAGGAGGCACTGGCCTGGTCTAGATCTTGCTCTGGGTCTCCCTTGTAGCCTTCAGCACTAGCACATGCTGCAGCAGCACCCACCCTTTCCTGGTCTGCTGTGGAACCTTGCAGAGCAACATCTGATTCCAATTTTGTGGACAAGATGGCAGCAGTTGGGTGTTGAGCATCTGCAGTTCAGGGGAGGGAGGAAGAGAGGGGCTTTTGCATCAGCCTCTTTTCCTGTCCTTCAGCTTGTCCTCATCTGCTCTTGAGCTTCCCAGTCCTGAAAAGTCTTTCTTCAGCTTGCCTGCTCAGCCCCCAGCCTCCCTGCTGACCCACAGTTCCTCTGCCCACACTTCACACCACCTTTTTTCTGGCAGCAGAGAGACGGGATCTGGCCAGGTGGAACCAGAGGGTTCCTTCAAAAAGAAGCGTCGGAAGAGGAAGCATCGTAGCACAGACAGAAGCCCTTATGCTGGGGCTGTGAAGGACGTGGATGAGGTCTCCAGTCCTCCCAAGAAGGAGAGAGTTGTTTCTCCAGAGGGCTTCAAGGACAAAGACTCCAAGCCCCCCAAAAAGGAGAGCATTGGCTCTCAGAAGGACTTAATTGATAAAGACTCCAAGCTCCCCAGGAAGAAGATTCTCTCTCAAGGGGACTTCATGTCTGTTGTGGGGAAGGAGGTGGCAGATAATGGTCTCAGTCATGGTCTGGTCTGTCAGGACATGAAGAGTGGGCCCAAGCAACATGTGCCAGAGCCCCATATTGACTTGGGCATGGAGCCAACCTTCCCCCTCAAGAGGAAGAAGAAGAAGAAAAAGAAGAATAGGAGCAAAGACAAGCCCTTGAAGAAGACAGAAGAGTGCAGCTCTGGGACGCTGTCTTCAGACAGGTGAGGGACGAGGGGCATGTGAGAGCCTGAGGTCAGGCTCCCTGGGCTGTGGTCAGGGGCTTCCATCCTGGAAGTCACTCTCCCACTCTGGTCTGGCTGGAGTGAGCTGACCCTGCTGCCTTCCCCAGCTCCAGGACAACTGAGCCAGAGCCCTGTAAGACACATCAGAGCGTGGAGGCTGGAGAGCACAAGCACCGCAAACGCAAGTGGATGGAAAGCCTCGGCAGCCTGGCTGCCAGCACTGGCCCAGCCACCACCACCAGCACCCCAGGTATGAGCTTGTGCCCCATCTGGTGCCTGGCAGGGTCAAGCCAGCAGCTTGTCTGCCCTTGGAGCACTGCTGTGCCATCCCCAGTGCTTGCTGCTCCCACAGCTGCCTGGCAGTGCCTGTTGTCCTGCCCTCTGTCCTGGGCTGCCCTGTCCCAGGCCTGCCTGCTGCTCCTGGGGGAGAGCCCGGGAGCCCTTGCCTGTGCCCTGGAGGAGGAAGTGGGGACAGGCCTCTTGATTGACCCCCAGGACAGGCACTTGTGTGCCCAAACACCCTCAGCCATCAGGACCTCATCTGTCCAAATGGTGTTTCCTGGGGTGAGATCTGCTTTGGGGAGGGAGGGACGCGGTGGCTCCCTGGCTCATCCTCGCCCTGCCTGCTTCCACAGTGGCAGCACATCCCAGTGACAGCCAGACTGGGGATGAGAGGCGTTCCCTGGCTGTCCTGAGCCCTGTGGCCAGCAACTGGGCTGGCACAGCCCCCGAGGGCCAGGAGTCCAGCGTGCTGGACAAACTGCTCCAGAATTCCTTGGACAAGGCTTATGGCAAACAAGGTAATCCTAGCTCACCTGGGTGGGCAAACAGCCCCCCTGTCCTAAGCCCTGGATGGGGACAGAGCCCCCCCAGCTCTGCCAGGGCCTGAGCTCCCCCCACCCCAGTGCAGGCAGGAGGGTGCACCTGGAACCAGGCAGATGGCCATGGGCCTGCTGGGGGTGGCACAGGGTGGGGAGCTGGAGCAAGGGGCTCCTTGGGCCCGGGCTGGGGCCTGGTGCAGTGGGGCACAGTCTGGTCCTTCTGCTGACTTTGCTGCTTGCAGTCTTGACCTGGCAGGGTGAGATCTCAGCTGTGAGCCAGGATGCCATTCGGGACACAGCACTGGCCCAAAGCAAGACCATCATTGATGAGTGGGACCAGGAGTTTGACAAAGGAAAGGTTGGTGCCGGGCTGGGCCAGGTGGGAAGAAGATGGGGCCTCTACACTCTGGCCTGAGTGCTCTCTTACCCCTGCACAGGTAAAGAAAATGAAGAAGATGAAGCAGGAGCGGAGGAGAGACTCAAACCCCTTCCAGAAGTTACAGAACAAGCGCAACTTCTGGTTGATGTCACATCCTGCCAAGATGGCCAGCCTGGGCCACCGGCTCTCAGGTGAGCGAGCCAGGGGGCACAGCGAGCCTGGGGGGCTGGGGGGTGGCAGCCTGGTGGGAGCTGACACTGCTCTTTGCCTCACAGGTTGAGATCTGCATCCCGCCTGCTCGGGGAGCAGTCCCAGGTCAAGGACTGAGGGCAGCACTGTCCTGGGAGCTGTTGGTGGACCACGCTCAGAGGGGAGAGAATACAGCCCTGGGGTTGTGCCTTTTCCTTCGGGGAGCTGCTTTTCCAGCTGCAGAGGAGCCTGCCCACTCTGCCTTGCCTCCAACCTGCCTCGGCCGGGCTCCTCGTCGGCTTCTCCGTGCCTCTTCCCCTCCTTCCCCCAGCCCGCACCTGCGGCGGCTCCTGGCAAGTGCCTCAAGCCCGTTCCCGTTGCTCCGTGCTGCCGTGCCTCCCGTGCCAGCGTTACCGACCCTCGCCCTCCCCTGCTCTCACTTCGTGACCCCCATCCACGAGCTGCATTGAAAGCCGCCCCCGCCCGGCCCC